AGTGAGAAGATGGTTACGCATAGATCTTCGCTGAAATTAGTGTTGGAATTACTGGAGAAATTGACATTATTAGTTTTTATCGAAACACTCAAGTTGCACAAGGAGGCTTTCCGTGTTATCATATTCATAAATGAAATGTTTCAAGCAAAACTGTTTTTGCTCTTCTTGCTTTTTTGGCTCTCTCTTGCACTCAGCGAGAGAAAAAGTTATGAGAAATCGAAGAGGTGACCTCTATGCTTTTGGTAAATGTAGAGGTTTTGCTTTCTGGACATGCTGAAGGTGATGCGCAGAAAAATTTCGTTGCCCCCTCCCAAGTCGCAGTTTTCACTGTACGATTCTCCTTTGGGCTTCACCTCAGAGTGTTTTTTCCTGTCTTTGCTCGAAATTAAAATATTCAGGGGCTAAGTTAGAAACTAACAGAGGAGATGGCCAGGGCGCTTGGGAAGGGGGGTGAGGGGAGGAAGAGTATTCCTTCAGTAATCTCAGTTTGGAGTAGTGCCAACTTGACTGCCACGCAGGTCGTCGCTCAGAATGCTTTATTATGTGTTCGGTCGTAAAAGTTTAGTTCAAACAGCTCTATCTTGTATGCTTTTTGCGCTTTTTCTCAGTCGAATTATGCAGATAAAGACGTGCTGTAGCTCGGCCGTGTATCTTTATGTGTGTGTATGTGTATGTATGTGTGCGTGTGTGTGTGTGTGAGTGTGTGTGTGTGTGTGTGTGTGGAATGCAACTTGGTACTGTGGAATTCAAGAAGTTCGAATGGTCAGTAATAATTAAGCCGAAAGCAACAAATCTTTTTGTATCCTGACCATGTCTGAGGTCCAAAATCCAGTTAATTTTGCAACTGATGAACGAAGTGGCCTATGAGTTGTGGTGAACTGGAGAGGTCACTTATTCAGTAGTTTTAGCCGAACAAAATGCTTCATGTCTCTTCCTTTTTTAATTGAAGACCAGAAATTTGGCTTCTGGGACTATAGATTTGCATTTTTTGTGATCGAGAATCGTTACAGGTAATAAAATTGCGTGAGGTTTCGCATTATGTCTCAATTTTCCGCGTAACATGAGATTCATAACTAAGCTAATTCCGTAATTTAGGGACCCTTTCGGTTTGTAGTTGTAAAATTTGCAGTGTTTTATTATTTTTTTTTTTTTTTTCTGAGAGAATGATCAAAAAACAGTTAGCGAGGAAGTTGCGTGTTCACAGACGCAGCTTTTCGCTATGTGCCACTATGCTAGTCATTTCATGTGAAGTGTTGTTGCTGCACTGAATGCTGAGAGATGTTTTTGTATTGAACAGGACACTGGTGCGCCATTCACGTCGAGCGTGAAGGTATGCCGGCAGCACCTGATCGCAATGACTGCCAACGATGGAGCTGCGCTAAATGCTGTTAATTTGTCGCGGGTTATCGTAATGATGATGAACTCGTGCACCGGTGCCCCGCTGCAGCCACCACCGATGCAGGCCAGCAATCTCTGGGATCATCGCACCGGCAACGTCCCAGGTTCTCCATTTGCGCAGTTCACTTGTTACGCTTCTCAAATAATTGGCAGCCCTTATAGTTTTGCTCCTAACTTTCCTAACAAATCGCGCATTTGTCAATTTTTCAAGCATCGTGTATCGCCAGGTTTCTGTCCAGGCCTGACATAAATCATCACTACAAAAAGGCAGTACGGGCCTGAAGGGCCCTGTAAGGAAAAGGAAAGCGGGGCTGGAATTCCAGCCTCGTAGCCACAGCGTTACCCAGATGGTCGTAAAAATTCGCGATTAAAGAAAAAGGAATAAAAAGGAAAAAGGGGGGTCCAGATTGTTGCGATGAATACTTTTTTAAAAAAAGTCAAGGTCGGATTTAATAGAAGTCATGTGAATGGTGTATGTATAAAAAGCCTGCCTGTGTTTCATCCTCAAGCTGTAAACACAGACAGTAACAGACGTGATTAGGGGTGGGAATCATCAGTACAGCTCCCTAATCACCATGTTTGTACGAATATAGCGAGTTGCAAGATGAGATAAGAGAAAAAAAAAGCATGCAAAGAGAAGAGGGTAAAGAAGTTTGCTGAAATGATGTGTGACGTACTTCCACAATGAGCACACCATCATAAAGGCATATCTTTATGTGTTACTTCGGCGTAAATTACTGGCAGACCTTAATGAACTAGGAAGGACAGTGCGGGCCGTAACGGCCGTATAAGCAGTAGAAAAAGCTGTAAAGAGCCCACGAACAGGACTATAAGCATCGGCCCATTCAGTGAGGGGTAAAATAGGAAGACCAATACGGGCAGTACAAGCCATATCACTGTTTTGCCGTTAACACTTTTCTTTTCACAGATCGTATTTCCACTTGCATTTATAGATTCTCGACGACGCATTTCCTCACTTTTTTTCTTGTTAGTGTAGGATTTTTAGAATAAATACTGTACATTTTTGCATGACAGGTGTCGCGGACAGATTAGCTTTGCCAATTTCTTCGCACAACCTTCTTTTCCCACTTCAACCGCCCTCCCATCGTTGTTCTGTCAGCATTATATTTTCAATATTTCGTTAGTGAATGTTGAGTCTGGTTAAAAATTTCCTTGAAATGTATGTAAAAGAAGCGTAATGAACTAGTTTTAAACAATTTAAGTCGGCTCCACTTTTGCAAATAATTGAAGAACTCGGGCGGTGATGTTTGTGAGTTTTCAGCTCTTGCGACAGGCTCCTCGGTGGAAAATTTGTCAACAACTGCAGCAACGAGCAGTCTCTCTGACAGTGCTGCTAATGTTCCCCCAGGTGCAGCTTCACAGCCTGTGCAGCAGATCAGCTGGAATCCAAGGATTTTTGCAGCCGCTGTTCGGGAATTGGTAAGTTGTAGATCGGGGCTGGTCCATTTTCTGCCCGTTTCTCTCAGCTCACAGCTGCATGGAAATTTTTGTGTTTTTCGTTTTAGGCTCCAACTTTGAATTGGTCGGAAGTTATAATGCACCTTGATCAGACGAACTTTGTCGTGCGAAATAAGCCGCAGCTACAACTATTAACAGCGTTATTGCTTGAGGGGCTCGGCTCGAATTCGTTTCCAATAGGATTGCTTTATCGGGAATGGAATTTTCATAAACTCGGCCAGGTTTTTGTTCGTTTCTTCCAGCACTGATGTAATTCTGGAGCGGAAGCATTCACCGTACAGAATTGCGCGTTTGCGTGCAACATGCAGTGCTTTTTTTTTAGCTATCATGGATTGAACAGATATTGCTCAACACGGACGTTTTCTGCTTTGCTGATTACCCGTACAAAGCAGTCAATCTGTCAGTGCTAAAAGTACAACCAGAAGAGACACGAGAATTGAGTAACTGGTTGGTTAATAATTTTTTTGAATTCCTTACCCCACACATGTCACCCCTGAACTTCTTTTGATATATGCAGGTAGCATGAAGAAATTCGGCATTCCAATTTTTTTTTTTAAACATTTTTAGGCGTTGTTTGGACTTGGTGGACACACTGGTTCGATTGGGTGAACTGAAGAAATTCATGAATATTGTGTTGAATATTCTGCTTCGGCCGGTCAATTTATGCCCAGATGTGCTACTCTTGGCACTGCTGCAGATACAGGTGTGTGCTCACTTTGACATGGATGTGTGGAAGAAAGGCTGAAACACATGAGGAAGTCAGGCACTGCGAAAATATCTCTCTCGGTCGACTGTGATTTTCCAAATGTTTTTGCAGATACCGACGTCGACTCTGCGCATGCATCTTTGTCAGCTACTGATACCAGCACTGATTGGGAGTCATCCAAATGCTGTTGCTGTACTG